GGAGAAGGGAGAGGAGGAGGAAGAGGAGAAGGAGGGGGAGGAGGAGGAGGAAGAGGAGTAAGAAGAAGAGGAAAGGGGGAAGAGGAGGAGGAGGAGGAGGAGGAGGAGGAGGAGGAGGAGGAGGAAGAGGAGTAAGAAGAAGAGGAAGGGGGGGAGAGGAGGAAGAAGAAGAGGAGGAGGAGGAGGAGGAGGAAGAGGATTAAGAAGAAGAAGAGGAGGGGGGAAGAGGAGGAAGAGGAGGAGGTGGTGGTGGAGGAGGAGGAGGAGGAGGAAGAAAACAAAGAGGAGGAAGAGGAGGAGGAGGAGGGGAAGGAAGAAGAGGAAGAGGATGCGGATAGGAGGGAGAGGAAAAGGAAAGGAAGAAGGAGGAGGGAGAAGAGGAGGAGGAGGGAGAGGAGGAGGAGGAGGAGGAGGAGGAGGTGGAGGAGGAGGCGGTGTAAGAAGAAGAGGAGGAGGAAGAGGAGGAGGAGGAGGAGGAAGAAGTGGAAGAGGAGGTAGAAGAGGAGGAGGTAGAGGAGGAAAGAAGAGGAGGAAAGAGGAAGAGGAAGAGGAGGAGGAGGGAGAGGATGAGGAGAAGGTGGAGGAAGAGAAAAGAGAGAGGAGGAGGAGGAGAAAGGGGAGGAGGGAGGAGGAGGAGGAGGAATACCGTGGGAGGGAGAGAGAAACATAAAGACAGGCAGAGAGAAACATAAAAGGAAAAATCAACAAAGAAGAGGAGGAAGAAATGAAGGAGGAGGAGGTTGAGGAAGAGGAGGAGGAGAAGGAGGAAGAAGAGGAGGAGGAGGAGGGTAGGAGGAGGAGGAGGAGGAGGAGGAGGAGGCGGAGGAGGTTGAGGAAGAGGAGGAGGAGGGAAAGGAGGAAGATGAGGAGGTAGGGGAGGAGGAGGAGGGGAAGTAGGAGGAGGGGGAGGAGGGGGAGGGGAGGGGGAGGGGGAGGGGGAGGAGGAGGAGGAGATGAAGGAGGAGGAGGAGAAGAGGAGGAGGAGGAGGAGGAGGAGGAGGAGGAGGAGGAGGAGGAGGGAGAGAGGAGCAGGAGTAGGAGGAGAAAAGAGACAGAGTGGGAGAGAAAGTTAGGGAAATATAAAGCGAGGACGATTGGGCGAGACAGCGAGGGACAGAGAAAAAAATATAAAACTGAGAACAAATGACAAACGTAACAAGAGAAAATAGTGTTTGTGTTCGGCTTCATCCACGTGTTCATGGGTTTGTTGTGGGCAGGCGTGCGAATGCTCAAGGGTGAGAGAATGGAAGTATGTGTGTTTGCGAACGTGCGACACGTACCTGTGTGGTGTACCGGTGCGGCGCGGGCGTGAGGAGGGCCGACGTTGTGAGGTGGGCGGCGGCGGTGGCAGCGGTGAGCGCGAGGCACGCGGGCAGGCGCAATGGCAGCCCCACGAACACCAGGAAGTGCAGGAGGATAAGCCAGAGGAGCGCGTTGCGCGGCACGGGCGTCAGCGGGCCGAGGATGACGAACACGCCCACGCCCGTGAGGAACAGCGCCCACGCAAGGTACGGCAGGAGGATCCACGATCGCTCAGGGAAGACGTGGAGGCGGCACAGCAGCAGCAGGAGCACATGAAGAGCGCCGATGCAGGCGAGCGCGAGGGGCGCGGGCAGCGCGGGGTCCTGGGCGTCCGCCAAGCATAGTGTCACGCTGTAGGCCGTGAAGATGCCGCCCGCCGCCAGTAGTATGTGCAGGTCGGCACGCCGCTGCCGCTCGTGGTACGCCTGAAACAGCTGCTCCACGTCGGGGTCGACGAAGGTGCGGTGCAGACACTTGGGCAGGATGCGCGACACGCGGCGCTTCTCCAGCGCGAACTTCTCCATGCGGATCACGCTCATGGACGCCGAGATGTCGTCGTATCCGTCGCGGGCGCCCTCCTCGCAGTCGCCGCTGCTGCTGCTGCGTCGGCTGCAGCTGCCGCGCTCAGTGTGCGGCGTCGCCGGCGACGATAGCGCGGGCGCCGCGTCCTCGGTGGAGGGTGACGCGCCCCCGCCGGACGAGTCCTTGCCAGGACGGACAAGGCAGACTTCGGCCGAGTTCCTGGCGCTTCCAGGGGATGTGGGGAGCGGCGCGGGCTCGAAGCTCTCGTTCTCGTACTCGAGCTTAGGTTCGCTGCTGAGGCAGGGGTCGAACTCGCCCTCGAAGGTCTCCTCGACCCCATGGCATCTGGTCAAGCTCTTCCGGGCCATCTTGAGGCGCGTGCACAGCTCGGCCTCCTCGCCCTTCTCGCCCTCCACGACCTCTACCTTGGTATTCTCCTTCAGAATCAGCTTGCCGTCCGCCTCGTCCTCCATCGCGTATTACCTTCTAGAATCTTCTCATATCAACGCGAAAACCAAACAGCACATGTCCAGGTGCTCCTTCTCGCGCGCGTGTACTCCCGCACGGCCTCTACATGTCCAGCCTCTGGCAGCGTTTGCGAATACGCCCTCTGGACTCACGAAGCCCGGACGACCAGCTCAGGCGGCGCGCTGTCCCCGGGAAGCTCTCACCATCCCTGGAACATAAGAGGGTTATCGTTAAAGCACAAGCAAATGAACAGGGTGAATCCGCTTGCTAAAGGCAGAATGCAAAGGCCTCTTCCCTCTGCCGCCCACCTGCCACGCGAGACGCAATTACAGCGCTTCCCTCCAGTCGTCGCCGCTGTGAAGTGGAGGGAACTAATGAGGTCTGTATTGAAGTATCAGGCCTCGACCGCGCGAGAGAAGCATCCCCGATGCAATGAGTTCGCCCGGGAAACTTAATCGACATGTTTGCGCACCAGTTCATCCCAGCTAGGTCGAATATATTAAAATCCTGTTAATCTGCGAGACATTCATGTTCTCATAATATTGATCGACGTAACACAACAGATACCGGGCCATTTTTTTACAGTAAACACGAATATATAATCCTTCACACATCGTTGGAACCTCACAAGTAATTCTGAATATGGTCCGGCACAACAAAAATAAAATTGTCATGATGTACTGATACATCAAGACTTTATGGAGACAATTAGAAAAATGGCAAAATAGTAGAAAGATTACTTCTCGTTAACATCGTATTACTGCAACCTGACGAAACCTGAATGCGAATTCAGACAAAGTTTCTTTATGAAGGAACTATATTGTAGGTCATATTTTCATCTCGTCAAAGCAATTCAATGCACTCCCACTCGTCGTTAACGACGCAAAATCCTACGGTAGTAGCGCGCCGGATTTCACTAACTTGCGCAGCTGGAGAATGTGAACAAGATAATGCTGATCTTCACAGAGGGTGTCTCGGGCCTCAAAGCTGCCACTCTCTGAATTAAAGACCACGCTCCCCTCCCTCCCCGGGCGGCAGCCGAGGCAGCCGTCCCTCACCCTTAGGCAGGGATGACCGCAAGCCTGGTGGGGGAATCCCCGCCAGCTGACCAAGGCGATGTAAATGTACTTAAACTTTTAAAGGAAATGAGAGCTTTGAAAGAACAAAACGATAACTTGATTAATAAAATAACGATGCTGAGACAGGACATGGACAGAACTGTCATTGTCGAGATACTAGTGTTACCATTAGTGCGACAAGAAAGAACGAGGAGAATCAATGTCAGACCATCAGTGCTGATAACCAAAGTGGGCGTCAGCTCTGACATCAGCAATGAACAATATAAGGATCCCTATGACATCGAGTTTAGTGACGCATCCAGCCCCCCAGGTGCATCTGGAACAACAACCGAAGGGACTGTTCTGAGAAGTGGAACAAAGCTAAGACCGAATGTTTGAAATGGTTAAAAGTACTTTTAAGTTTACGACTGCCATCTGTAATGAAATCCATAATCATAAAATAATATGAGTCTTGTGTGAATCTATAATTCGTAATATTAAAGAATATAACAGCATGAAGTACAGATTGCCTAATAAAACACTATTCACATACGGATAAACGCACAATCAAATTCATGTAATGGAATGTTAGTATTATTAAGCCTAGACTGAATGACCCAAAATCTTACATCCGTAAATATAATATTGATGTTATTTGCGTACAAGAACCATTTGCTGCTGCTGCTAAGACGAAAATACCACCTGCAATTAAGGGATATTATTCATATGTGAATACAGCCATGACTGGATTGTTGACGTATGAGAAGGTAACACTGCCACATAAATTAGTAAAAAATCCGAGAACACTGATGATTAGTGAGTATTTTTCATTGTATATGCCAGATACTCTTATATTTCTGGCTAGTTCTCTCCAATTTTCACAACAAAGGCACGTTATGCATGGGCGACTTCAATGCAAGGCATCCACACTTTGGAGACAACCAACGTAATAGTAATGGGGAAGAATTCAAGCATTTCATCAACAGTAGATCACTGACAGTATATGACACAGAAGCAGAGACTCATTTGGGAGTGGCAGGTTAGATTACGTATTTGGTAAAAAATTAGTTCATGGTAATGTCTGTACTTCACTGATAGGAGAGTTAATTAGTGACCATTGGGTCTGTTCACGAAAACTCTCGAAGAAAAAAAGGTTCCAGGCCTCCCATGCACCGAGGTGGATCAATGACCCAATTTTGACTAAGAACATAAACGGGTTCAAGAGCTTGCTAACCGTTATAAAGATAATTTAACGTCATATAATCTTCTGCAGATTCTTAAAGCCAGCAAGGAATTCAGAGAATTAAAAACTCAGATTCGTAGTAAACACTGGGAACAATTCTTGCAAAGCATCAATAGCCAAACTTCTGTAGCTGCCGTATGGAGGAAAAAATAATAGGCTCGCAACACCGCAATTCCACAGTCCACAAGAACAGGCTAACATGCTGCTAGAACAGTGGGCCGGAATTCTCAGTTGAGCTCACTCCCACAAGGGATAAAAGATCAACTGAACAAGTCGAAAATAGACAGAAATTTGAATATAGCAGTAGTCTGTGCTGCTCTTGAGCCCTCCGACTTTGCCAAAATAACCGAGTGGGAATTGAGTAATGCCCTTCTGAAAGGTAAGGCAACTTACATAACTATACATATCCTAATACATAAATTACTAAGCGATATACCACTTGAGGGTAATGACTCAATTATCTGCTATGCCGATGATATTTGCATTAAATCTTCATCCGAGGAGAGAATGCAAGAGATTCTAGATATACGTTATGTAAGGGCTACCGAGTGTGGCTTGATAATCTCGACTGAAGAAAAACAAGGCACTTAACCCAAGACAATCCCTCTGCCAAGGTTTCATATAAATGGCATTGAGCTTTCCCCCGGGGAAAATGTCTGACCTAAATCTATATTATACGACTGCCCCCCAAAAAGACATTGTCCCCCCCTACTCTACTTAAGCAGTATGTACTTACAATCATAAATGAGCATCTTGAAACGCTGTCCAGTGCATATATATGCTACACAGACAGATCCTTCTAGTCTGGGAGGAGAGCAGGATGCGCCTTTGTTGTATATAAAAACAACATTTTGCAGTACCAGGATTGTAGGAGGGTTCATGACTGGGCTAGCACTATGCAAACTGAGTTGGCAGGAATACTCATGGCCACCGAATTTCTATTGAAACAAGGCTCAGGAATGACTTTTTTGCGATTCAGTGTTCTCCAGGCTCTGGACACTCTAGACAAAGGTGCAGGAAATACTGCAAATTACATCAGGATAAACGTGTATCGTGCAAAAGAACGAGCCCATGATATACGTTTTCTGTGGATTTCATCGCATGTTGGAATCCCTAGGCATGATCATGCTGATCGCCTAGCAAAGTCAGCATGTGACAAGCAAAGTGTGGATATTGATCTTTCCTCTTTCTAGGATTTTATATATCATTAAAGCTTTCTTCAAAAGGACTTGACAGTGAGTTTATTAATCCTCAACGCCCTGAAAGTTGCTGCATAAAGCACTATGACTGGTTTAGGCAAGATTCATTCATCTAAGGATTATATAAAACGAGAACAAGACAGTGTAATAATGTGACCACAAGAATCAGGCTTGGATAGAGATTGTATTGGCAGGTCAGTGCAGTTTGTAATGTCGAAAAACTAAGTGTCAACTGTGTAATGAAGAATATAAGCGAACATGTGTACATTATATCTCAGAGTGCCATGTGTTACAGCCTTTCAGACCACCTAGTATGAGGTACGGAGAACTATGTAACCATTTCATATCATCTGATGTCTTAGAAGATATACTTATGTTGTATCCCAAATTTGCAATGTAGTATAAAAAAAAAACGCACATCAAATGTAACAATGCTTTTCCACGCCCAAGCTGTACGCCGGCGTGGCAGATGAGTGGATAAAGGACTGTATAATTGGTCCTTTTATTTAACTGAAATAGTACTTATCGTAAAAACGTTAGTCTAAAATTCAAATGTAATACCATTATATAATGTTATGACCATACATCAAACGTACCACCGCTTTCCCACGCCTGTGCAGTTAGCCAGGGTGGTAAATAAAGGGTTTTTAGTAAAAAAAAAATGAAGTTGGAGCTACCCGCGCGTCCTTGTTCTGATTCCAGGCTTAAGGACCATAATAAAAAGTATTAGCTGGAAGATATTCACAATAATAGCAATAATAAACAAAGTTTACTTTAGCTTAGACTCAAACAAGACGGCAAGATAGGGCAGGGTACCTTATTAGGCTGGAATCCGGACAAATCCTAACTCATTCCTGTATTTTTGGAGGCTGTGGACATATCTCTTTTCTATAACGAAAAAGAGAAAGGGACAGAGGGAAGGATACAGAGACTGATAGACAGAAAGAAAGCAAAGGGGAGAGAAATATATGTGTATGTATGTCTATACATAGACATTCACACACGAATTTGCTCACACATGTACTATGTACATACAACTGTATATTCATATGCTTATATACATACATACGTACATACATACATACACACACCCGCAAACACACACACACATACACGCACACACATATACATAAATGTGTGTGTGTGTTTACATAAACACACACACACACACACACACACACACACACACACACACACACACACATATATATATATATATATATATATATATATATATATATATATATATATATATATATATATATATATTATACATGCATAAATATATATATATATATATATATATATATATATATATATATATATATATATATATATATATATATATACACACACACATATGTATATATATATATATATATATATATATATATATATATATATATATATATATATATATATATATATATATACATATATACATATATACATATATACATATATACATATATACATATATACATATATACATATATACATATATACATATATACATATATACATATATACATATATACATACATATATATATATATATATATATATATATATATATATATATATATATATATATGTGTGTGTGTGTGTGTGTGTGTGTGTGTGTGTGTGTGTGTGTGTGTGTGTGTGTGTGTGTGTGTGTGTATATATATATATATATATATATATATATATATATATATATATATAT